GGGGGGGGGGGGCCCCCGCGGCGCCCCCCGGCCCCCCCCCCGCCCCTGACCCCGGTCCCCGGGCCGGCCCGCCGGGGGTGCCCTCGGGGGCGGTCCCGCCGCCCCCTCCCCGTCCCCGGGGTGCCCCGCTGCCCTCCCTTCTCCCTCCTGCCGCCGACACCTGCAGCCCGGCGCGCCGCTCGCGGCGGGCGGCGGGGCCGGGGCCATCCCCCCGCGCGGGGAGCGGCGAGTTGTGCGCGGTCCCCCGGCGGCGCTTCCCTTCCCCTCCCCTCCCACGGATCAAACTTTTCTCGCGCCGCCGCGGCCCGGCGGGGCCGCCCACTCGTGTCCGCGGGGCCGCGGGGGGGAGCGGCCGCGCGCGTTCCTCGGGGCGGCCGCGGTGCCGCTGCGGGCGGGGGGCGGCCGGCTGGCCTGCCGCGCTCCCTCCGGCCTGTCACGAGTGGGCCCCGCGGGGGGCGGCTCGAGTCATCCCCAGCGCGAAGGAAGGGGCTGGGAGAGCCCAGGCCGGGCCGGGCGGAGGGAGGCGAAGCCCCGCGGGGCTTCCCGGGCGTCGCTTCCCTGCGCCCGGCCCGGCCTCGCCTCTCCGTGTTCCCTCCGCCCAGCCACTCGCGAGCGTGGAGCCGCTGTCAGCCCGGCCAGGCTCGTGGTGCTGATGGAAGGGGACCTCCAGCCTGTGCGTTTGAAGGGCTTTGTTGTTTGTAAGTTCTGATCAGGAGAAGTTTGCTGCGGTGAAAAAGAGATTTATTTGGGTTTACGTGCACTGGAGGCACAACTGGAACGATGATGTGCTGTCAAAATAAATGTGGAGGTGAAGCTGATTGTTGAACAAAAAAAAAAAATCTGTGTAGCTTTTAAGATGTTTAAATATTTAGCCAGTAATACTTAGTGGATTTTCAGGGTTGCGTTTCCTTGTTTGTTTTGTTTCTTGTTTTGTAGCCAGATTTTGTCCTTGGTTACACCTGTATTCATCCACACTATGCCTCCAACAGAACTTTGGTGTAATTAGGGAGGATTTGTTCACTCTAACAAACCTCCACATGGTTGGTGTTAGACTCGTGTAAGCAATAAGGAACAAATGCTGAGGTAATGTCCAGATTCAATTTATCCACCATTTCTCACCTGGTGAGCCCATCCGCAAGTGCCTTGCTCAAACCAGAGAGACCAAAAGTGTGAATATGTGTTTATGTGTAGGAGAGAAATTTGTATGCTTCTGTTTCAGACAAAATTCTGGTTTTCCTCAAACAAAGCCCTAGTTTGTGTCATTAAGCATTTTTATGGGAATAAGGACTCGAGAATTTGGCTATAGTCCTTTTTGGAGAGGAAGTGAAGAGCAAGTTTAGAACTTGGGCATTTTAGAAAATGTCTTTATTCTGTTTCACTTCTTATTTGTTTATTTTCTACTTGAAAATAATTGCTGTGTTCTCTTTGCCAAGCCAAGCATGGCTACTACTTGCATCCTCTCATAATCCTGTAGCACTAAAAAGGAGCACAGATACATTACCCAGTTCTGCCAGCTAATATCACGTTCAGATAAAACAATAGCTCGCACACTGAGACTTGACATACTTTTAATGTTCATGTGATAGGTGGCACGTTTTGACCTAACGATTTCATGCTGTGTTAAGAAATAATGTCACAAAATCGTTGTTAGGTGCTTTTTCCTGCAGCTCTGTATGTACATTGAGAAACTTTTTTCTGAAGATCAGAGGGAGATGAAGGTGTCTAAGGCACAACCCCAGTGTGGCAGGAATTGCTCTGTGTGTTGCATGCAGCAGCCTGAAGTTTTTGTTGTAATTCTCGTGTTGGTGAGGAGGTTGTGAGAGGCTGGTGGAGCGAGATGCCTCAGCCTTGGTGAGGTGTTTAGGTGTTGATGTGTTTGAGTTGAGTCAAGATGCTGTGGGTGCTGTGTCCTGGTGTTAATACACCTCATGCTGTGGGTCTGCCCCAGCTCGTTGGAGGCCGTGGAGATTTTCCCCAGGTTCCAGAAGACGCTTGTGCCCAGAATGTAACAAACTTTCTGAGCCCATGTCTTGTGCTTGAACTTCAGCCTTCCTTGGGCTTAGTGCAGCTGAAAGGATGTGGAGACAGTGTTTTGTCTGCTTGGTGTGAAAAACTGTGAGAAGGAAACCTCAGAACTTTTCACCCACTGGTGAATCTAAGCCATGGTTCAGAAGAGGGGACACAGGTGGTGGTGGCTCATGCAGGAGGGGACAGCCACTGCAGGAGGACAAGGCTGAGCTCTCTGCTTCTGAGGACAACCTTGCAGCTGTAAGGGGGTGTGAAGTGTCACCCCAGGACCTTCTTATGTATCAAGTTGCAAAAAAAAGGAATAAGAACTTCCACACAGCTTGATTTCACCTGTATTTTACTAAATGCTTTTGCTTTTTGTTGGGGTGACTGAAAAAGCCCAACCTGTGCAAAATACCAGGTTGTGTGAAGCTTGTGGATGGCAAAGGGACACAGGTGCTGCACAAGAGCACAGATCCCATGCCACTATAACTTCAGGAGGAGTCATCCAATGTGTTATGGTTATGTTGATAAAAGTTCCCATCCCTTGAAGCAAAACTTTAACCAGCTCCCACTCTGGGAACTGCTTTTCTGTCCAGGTGTCAGTAGCCTTGTCATACTTCTCAAGTGTAAATTGTTTGGTGTTGAAATAGAGGCCATCTGCTTCTGGTTATCTGTCTCTGCATTTATGGCACCCCATACCTTGATGTCTCTAATGTTTGTGTGGGGAATACACAGGAAGAGGGAGTAAAATGAAGACAGTGGGATCTCGCTGTGTATTTTTTTCTGTCTTGGAGTGACAGCTGAACAATTCCAGTGTCATTGCAGATGTAGCTGGATTGATCCTTGCCTGGCCTTGCAAGACTTCCATGTAGCTGTGTGCAATAGGGGCCTGTCCCCTACACTGGGGAGCATTTTGGAGTCTTGAGAAAGACTCAGAAAAGAGTCTTCAGAAAGCAGCCCTTAATCTGTAGTAAAGCAGCTGAGATGTGGTCCTACAATGGGTCACCAGATTCTCCCTGAGTGGCCTTGCTGGACTGACAGCAGCAAGCCCGGTGGTTCCCTCCAGAGCAGTTACTCACACGGTGCTGCCCTGAGCTCCCCAAAAGTCCAGCCTAGAAAAGCAGGAAGGCACAGACACTCTGTGCCTGTGTTAGGGTGACCAGTGCCTTGTCCAGCTGTGGCTTTTCCCAGCCTGGAGGAGCCTGTGCTGCCCTGCTGGTGTGTTTGTTACCAGCAATAATAGCATGAGGTTCTCCAAACCCAGGTGGGCATTTTAGACACCAGCCTGACAGGGAAAAGTCA